GCCCCCCCCCGCGTGTTCGGGAAGCCTGGCGCGGCCGCTGGGCCCCGGAGTGACGTGAGGGGTTTCTTCCCACTCCCACTCCCACCCCCGCCCCGAGACCGCTGGGCTGCTCGTCGGCCACAGGGCGACGGCACGCCCTTCCTTCCTCCCCTCCTTCCCCAGTTTGCACCCGAGCTCTGCTCTTGCTTCATCAGACCACTTCCGGACTCCCAGGTAGGGAGGAGCCCCGGTCAGCACTGCCAGTGTCCCTAAACCCGAATACTCGGCTGGTGTGGAAAAGCATCCGGCGAGGATTCCCTCTCGTGCCTTGGGGTGCATCTGCTCAAGCTCTCCCAACACCCCCAATCAGAAGTGCGGGATCAAGGCCAAACCCTTCCTGCAGTGACTCAAAGCTGCCGCCCTTACTGGAAGGATGGGGCGTGGGGCTGAGGGTCCTTAGCCCCTTCCTTCTGAACTGGTTCACACCACCCTGGTGGCTTCAGTCCCGGTGCCTTCATCTTTTCCCCACTCTGGTTTTCCTGCCTCCCTCCTCAGCAGTAAGGCACAAGGCTGGACCAAGGCCTCCAGGGTAAGTGACCAGAACTCCGAGCAAGCAAAGGCCATGTCATCCTGGGGGGAGGGGGGGGGGTCTTCCCAGGGTTGAGCCTTTTGCTGAACTTGTCCTGCACTTCCACTTCTCTCTCTGATCTCTGCTGAGGGGGATGCCAGGACCAAATAGAGAGAGGGGCCTCTTCCAGGACTGTCACACTACAGAGTGGAAGGCAACTGACAGTAGTGATATAGAACCACTGGGTCCCCCTCCTGGTTGCCCCGATTTTAGTAGGTGATGTGATCCTAGGGTGGTGGCTGCCCAAATTGAGAAGTAAATGGAGGTGAAGCTCCTCCTTTCACCTTTTCACTATGAGAAACACTCATAGTCCCACTGGGAGTTTGAGACTGTGGTAGGAGCACATGTGGGCAGAGCAGGGAGCCCCCTAGAATCTGGGTAAATATTCTTGGATGTGTAAAGCAGCAGATTTAGGGCCTTGAATTCTGGGACAGCCAGAGAACTGGAAGCTCTGACAGAAGACAGAGAAGTCCCCACCTGGCAGGCTGCTCCATCTGACCTACTCTTGCTGCCCATTCTGGCACCTTCTCTGGGGAGGAGTCCACCTCCCACAAGGGCTCTTTTGTCTGTAGGACCCTAGGGCAAGTCAAGCTTGTCAGTGACAGACACTTGCTCCAGGGGCCTTTGACCCAATGATCTTCCACTGCTCTGTCACTTTACCAGCTACTTTGTGCCTAGCAAATGACACTTATACCCCCTAACCTGCCATCTGAAGCCCTTCCAGATCCGCCCCAAGCCAATGTTTCCATCAGCACCCTTTGTCCTCACCCAGCCTTTTGAAGATTTTGTCAGCATCCCTGCTGTGGTGATCAGGACATCTCCTTGAGCCCTGGGAAGTCAACACATAGCAGTGGACTGAATGGGAACTCCTATCTGTAGGCGGCCCCTCTGGATGAGGGATGGGAAGTTCGACAGGGAAAAAATGGCCAATTGTCCCTTAAGGGCAAGCAGTAGGCCTTGCCTTTCTGGCCCTGGGCTTGGGCCGGGCGCTGCATCCTCTAGCACTGGGCCCCACATTTTCGAACCCACAGCTGCTTGTCCTAACAGCTGCCTCTATGTCCCTTCTGTCCTTAGGGAGAGTTCTGCCGTCAAGGCAGGCAGCAGAGGACCAGGATCTGCCTATGGACCCTTCTCAGGATAACCCCTAATCCACAGCGCCTGGGCACACCGTCCTTTGGGAAGAGCCATGGTATCAAGGAGAGGCAGGGGTAGCCCCCAGCAGTGGCCTGGCCCAGATGGGGGTGGTAGCTGCCCAGGCCTCCTTGGCCTGCTCAGAGCTGCCCTGCTGCTCATCATCCTGTCATAGGACCAGGATCTGCCTATGGACCCTTCTCAGGATAACCCCTAATCCACAGCGCCTGGGCACACCGTCCTTTGGGAAGAGCCATGGTATCAAGGAGAGGCAGGGGTAGCCCCCAGCAGTGGCCTGGCCCAGATGGGGGTGGTAGCTGCCCAGGCCTCCTTGGCCTGCTCAGAGCTGCCCTGCTGCTCATCATCCTGTCATGGGGGGCCCGGGCAACTGCCAGTGCCAACCTCAGCATAGCTCTGGATCATACAGCGCCACTCACAGGAGGCCACTACTTGAGCATTGGGGATGGCTCTGTGATGGAGTTTGAGTTCCCAGAGGAGAGTGAAGGCATCATTGTGATCTCCAGCCAGTACCCAGGCCAGGCTAATGGGACTGGGCCCGGCCCCACACTGAGGGTCACATCCCTGGACACAGAGGTGCTGACCATCCAGAACGTGAGTGCTATGACCTGGGGCATCGGGGGTGGCTTCGTGGTGAGCATCCACTCAGGCCTGGCTGGGCTAGCCCCCCTCCACATTCAGCTCGTGGACCCTCACGAGGTCCCACCTGTGCTGATCGAAGAGCGGAGAGATTTCTGCATCAAGGTCTCACCTGCCCAAGATACCCCTGCCACTCTTGGCACTGCCAACCTGGCCCACTTCTCGGAGAACCCCATACTGTACCTGCTCCTGCCTCTCATCTTTGTCAACAAGTGTTCATTTGGGTGCAAAGTGGAACTCGAGGTTCTGAAGGGCCTCATGCAGAGCCCCCAGCCCATGCTGCTGGGCCTCCTGGGCCAGTTTCTGGTCATGCCCTTCTATGCCTTCTTGATGGCCAAAGTCTTCATGCTGCCAAAGGCCCTGGCTCTGGGCCTCATTATCACCTGCTCAGCACCTGGTGGTGGGGGCAGCTACCTCTTCAGCCTCCTTCTCGGAGGGGACGTCACCCTGGCCATCTCCATGACTTTCATCTCAACGGTGGCTGCCACCGGTTTCCTGCCACTGTCGTCAGCTGTCTACAGCCACCTGCTCAGCATTCATGAGACACTCCACGTGCCAGTCTCCAAGATCTTGGGGACCCTGCTGTTCATCGCCATCCCCATAGCAGCGGGCGTGCTGATCAAGTCCAAGCTGCCGAAGCTCTCCCTGCTGTTGCTACAGGTCATCAAGCCCTTCAGCTTTGTGCTCCTCTTGGGTGGCCTCTTCCTGGCCTACCGCATGGGGGTCTTCATCCTCGCAGGCGTCAGGCTACCCATCGTGCTGGTGGGCCTCACCGTGCCCCTGGTTGGCCTCTTGGTGGGCTACTGCCTGGCCATGTGCCTGAAGCTGCCAGTGGCCCAACGGCGGACAGTCAGCATTGAGGTAGGGGTGCAAAACAGCCTGCTGGCCTTGGCGATGCTGCAGCTGTCCCTCCGCCGCCTTCAGGCTGATTACGCATCACAGGCCCCATTTATTGTGGCTTTGAGTGGCACCTCTGAGATGCTGGCCTTGGTCATTGGCCACTTGGTCTACAGCAGCCTGTTCCCAGTTCCCTGAGGCCCCTGGGGCCAGCTTTCAGCACCCCAGCTCCCACACTGCACCCACTGTCCCCACAGTTCTTGTGTACCAAAGGCCTTTAGTTCTCATGCACTATGCACTCAGAAAAATCCAGGCTTATTTTTTTTACTGGTTTTTTTATTCTCTAGCTTTTGGTGCCAAAGAGGCCATGCTGAGTTAGGTGGGCACTGCTCAAAAAATCTATTTCAATAAAAGAGAGAAGCAACCTTGGCTCTGTTCCAGTCTTTGCCCTTCAGGGCCTGGGACGGGGATAGGAAGCATGTGCCTAGGTCGGTGTGGCCAGGCATGGTGACCCGGTGACCCTGTACAGGCTTTCTCCATCAGTCCCTGCATAGCCTCCTTGTGAGAGGGGGCCTCCTTAGAATGCCTGGGAGGGTAGGGAAGGGCGGGCAGCGTCTAGCCGCGCTGCGGGCTGCAAGCTCAGTAGTTTGTGCAGCCGGATCAGAAAGCCACCGGCACTGGGAGAACCCGGCAGAGAGCGGGGGCTCGCATGACGCACCACCGGCCGGCCGCGAGGGCGAGACGGCTTTCTGGCCCTTCCAGCTCCCACATGAAGAAAACGTGGCCCGACTCGCTCCTCCTGCCGGTCCTGGCCGGCCGGTGTGGCCAAGCCCCCGGGGGGACGCCC